GAAACGTCACAATAAATTTAACTTTACAATTCGTTTTTTTGTTTGGTCTATTTCTATGGCTCTAATCAGAACTTTATGTTGGGCATTAATTTTTATCACACGAATTCGATTTCCGCTCGGCAAGTCTCTCGCTACAAATTTATTGGAAATTGGGTTTATATGCAAAAGAAGAAAGCAATTTAAGCTTATTCCATGGTAGTATCAAATATATTAGGAATAATAGCAAGCTCTTTGCGTTTTTTTAACGATTTGCGGCAGACCTGATTTAATTTCATTGGTTTGAGCTCATTGAGTTCTATAATAACTGGAGGGGAAACGTCAACAAAATTAGTATAAATTATTATCGCGCGGCCGCGTGGTCAAAAACATGGCGGATTTTGGTGGTCAAAGTCAGGAGAGACGCGGGCTCATGAAATAAAATTTTGTCGCCCACCTGATTTGACCACCACGATTGCGAGTATAGAAAATATCAAAACTATTTATTTTCCTAACATAAACACTTTTTAAAACTTTATTTATTAAACTGCCAACTTTTGGGTTTGCGGATGCTGAAATAGTGACAGAAAGGGAACATTTCTTGACTCCAGTAAGTAGCACAGTATTAGTTTTACTATTTTGTTTTTAACACGATACTTGAAGAGTGTTTCTACTACTAAGTTTTAATTTAAAGTTATTTTGGTCCAGTCTTGTTTGTTCTTCACTTAATCGCTCGCCAGACGTGGCGAAGCTGTCAATTTTTATCGAGTTTTGCATCCATCTTGTATCATGATCAAGGCATCAAGCTAAACTCTCCTGATTTGAATTGAGTTTACCTCCCAAAATGGGGCATAATTTGTTCATGTTTTTGAAAAGATGAAGGGAAAGTTTACAACAGATTGTGTTGAAATTGAATGCAGTGCCATGCAAAATTAATGAGAACTATGGTATATGTTGTATAATAAAAATAACTATTAAACTGTTTGCCTGCTCAATTTGACTGACTGTATTGTGTACACAATTATAATGGGATTGGAAAGTTGGATTTATGCCAACAGTTTTAAAGTACTACTTAGTGTTTCTCTAAGTGAAGTATTTATTGTTATAGTAAACAAGTTACTACTTCAAAACCAAGATAAAAGAAGTGTGTTCAACAATGTGCTAAGATTTGTTTCTACCTTGAAATTTTTGTTCAACAGTAGCTTATGATTATATCATTAATATGCATGAAAAAGTAAACATATTATTGTCTCATCTCACCAAATCCATACTTGGTATGATTCCAGGTGATCAACAAATTCACATCGGATGCATTGGTTACAATGAAGTTGAATGTAGAAGAAGCAAAAATAGATGGCAAAGAAATTCTTTGTGTCTTATGAAGAATTAGTAGAAATCAATAAAAAGAATTCTTTAAACAAATAATAAGCAAATTTAAATTTGCTCATTGTCAAGCAACCTAGTCAAAGAAGCAAAGTCTGTCTTCAACATGTGACCTTTCCAATTATTTAGTTTCTTTGTACAAAATACTATTTTCGAGAAACTTGATTTGTAAGTCTTTCATTAATATTTTTTTTTACCAAGAGATAAAAGGAACTAATTCAAAGGCTTGATGTAAAATACAAAGATTTAACAAGTTGTTTATCATTTAATTCCTAAATGTTAGTTTCTACATATAAATAATTAGTATTGGTAGCTGTAAGTTGTTTAAGCAAAACAGAAGAGTAGTAGTGCTCAAAGGGGTTAGCATTTTTGAAAAATTATATCTTGTTCATGACATATATTACATAATTCCAAAAAACTGTAAGTAATGCACAATAATATCTATAGAACTTGATAAATTTCTTCACCTACACTGTCAAATCACTATTTTGCCTTCATGCAGCAATAGACAGTGTTTTTGTCAAAGAAACCAATGCACTTTAGTTTCCAAGTTTGTAATTTCAATGGAAAATTAATGTAGTTCTGTTCAGTAATAGATCCAAGATTCTGCCAAGCTGTTTACAAATTACAAATTACCAAGCAACAGTGTCATGGTGTTTTGAATTTTTTTCTTTTTTGTAGCTCGTCTAGTTCAACATACTTTCTTTATGAGTTTTCAGTAGATTTATCAGGTAATGACAATACACTTATGATACTTATGCATGGTAAATTTTCAGTTGACTTATGTCGTAGGACTGAAGCAAACATTTTCTCGCTTCCTTAGGAGCATTTTTACACAGATTTATCCATTTGAAGCAAGAAAAATAGGTGCACCAAACTGTTTACAAACAGTCAAACACACAAAAGCATGAAATAATGTATAAGTTTGACGAGATTGACAGGTCTAGTAAAGAATGTCGTTTGATTTTCACTATTAAAAGGCTAAAATGTCAAAATAACTTAAATGTTACATCCAAAATACGCGTTTCTCTACCGTCGATTTTCTTTATTTTGATTTGTGTCTACTGCGTTTTTCACGAAGTGCTGAAGCATTATTTTCACATGATATGCTGTCAGTATCGTAATTGTTTTTTTTTCTCACTTGTTTTCGTTCATACAAACAGTATTAGAAATCAGGAGGGAGTGAATATTGAAAAAAATTTTTAAAGTGGAAGTTTTGACCACCAAAATCCGCCATTACCGCCATGTTTTTGACTACGGGGTCCAGGCCCCTTTTCCCCTTCAGGTCTTATAGAGCTCAATGTTTGAGCTTCGTTTGCGGTTTACTAGTTCGTGCTTCAAATTGATCGTGACCCATTGTAAGAACTATTTTTCGTACGTGAACGTGTTTTCTCGGCATATGTTCCGACTCTGTAACAAGTTTTCAAGATCTTTAAGCTTGGTGGCAAGCGGCAATGTTATCCTGGCATCAGTGTTATCAAATAGTTGGACAAGACTTTGTTCGAAACTTCGAAACATAGTAATCATGCAGTTTTGGTCCGGAAAGATCTGTGTTCAAGATTTGTAACAATTTAATGGTAGTGAGTTGTTTATGCCCTCCAATTTGATCCAAGCATGACATATTTTATTCTGAAAGATCACAAAATTTTCTTGCTCATCAGAAAATGACAGACTTTTTTACTTTTTAGTTATTGAAATATGCAATGATTTGACCAAGATGCATTTGGCCTTAAACGTTTTATTCCTTTATATGAAGTTATTTCGCCTTTATCACTTTATAAAGTATTAAAGTTTATTTCTAATAAAGTTTGTTAGGGATTCTGCTGAAAATTTTGGTGAAGCATTTCTTTAAAATGAATATATTATTTCTATAACATGAAACATTTCTGTTGTTGAAGAACAGTCTGTTTGCTATAAGTGCTACTGTTTGTAGTCTTTTATACAGCATATGAGTCTGATCCAATCTTTAATTTAGCAAAGAGTTAACTTTATTGGTTTGAGGAATGACCAACATATGTGTTTAATGATCAAACAGGGGTGTGTTGGAGGGGGCTAAGCCCGTTTGTTCAAATTCTATGCCTTGTATTGCCAGTGAAATATATATATCAAAAAGCTAGCAGCACCTAAATATATATCAGAAAGCCAGCAATATTTTAATATATATGGGAAAGGTAGCAACAGTTGTAATATACATGAAAAAGCCCAAATAGCTGAAATTATGGAAATATGCCTCTGTGATCTTATAAACCAAAACCTACAATTAAAAGGTCATCGACAAGTCTAGAAGAGAAGTAATGTTCTACTTTGAGCTAAAGAAGTAGGGTACATTTGTACAATTCATTACCAAAAATATATTGTACTCAGCTGTTTCAGTGAATATCCTAATTATCATTACTTCATTTTTAAATGATGAACTAAAAATACAAAATACAACATGGAAAATCATAAGAGTTTCTGTGATTTGGTGCAGTTGTTTTAGTGTGGAAGTGGCTGAGAATTGAGAGGTTTGTAGACTGACCAATTTCAGAACATAATGAGAAATCATCTTCGATTAAAAAACAAGCTTTGGAGTAAGAAAACTATTGAAACCGAATCAGCACGAACTTTGCAATGTTATTTGGCCCAAAAATGTTTATCTACTTGAGTTAGTTAATTGAACCTTATATCAAAAGCAGTTCAGCACAACAATCACCATACGCAATCAAATTTCGTAAGTTCGACGTAAAGGCATTTCTTTCATTTTTTTCGTAATCCTCGATTCTTGCGATATGTAATGACATTTAGTAGCCTTCAACAATCAGTTATTACAAACTTATCCATAAAAAAACGCAATATTATCTCAAAATTCTGTATTACTAGCAGCAATTGCTATATAAACACAAGCTCAAATTTCAAAACTAGGAACCAAAATGGCGGAAATTGATCAGGTGATCAATATTGCCCAATCAACGTAAGCTAAACGGATAACAATAGATGTCCCAACTCTTTCTTATAGAGGTCTTTGGTCCCAACTCTTATGGCTGAAACACACTAGGCAGTCGCTTTAGTCGCGCGTCTAAAACTACCGCTTTGCGTGGTTACTAAGCTAGTGGCTTAGTCGCGTCAGCTAGTCGCTTTGAAAGTTCAACATGTTGAACTTTTGACTTTGGTCGCTTCAGTCGCTTTACACTGATTGGCCAATAGATACATTTTAACTTCCTAAATGCATATCATATTTCCTGTCATAAGCATCATACGAAATTTATAGATTATACCTTGGAAAACGAAGGCAATATATAGTGAATTCACACTGGAATCTTTCAGTTTTTATATGACTTATCAAATAGGGACAATAGGGAGCTACAAACTGGAACCCTAATGCACAACCTAAATGCACAGAATAAGATTATCCACGATATACGCGTAATGTGCTATGATCATATTGGCGTGTTTTAACTGGCTTGTTCTCTTTTCTCCACATAGTAGTTTGTACTGAGTAAATATTCATATATTAGTAGCTATAATAAAGGCCAAAATAAAAAGTTTAAGTGATATCTGTGTCTGTAACAAACTAAAATCACCGCCATGTTCAATAGACGCCACGTTAATTGTCGCGATGGTCGCTCATGTGTGTTTCTAGCGTTCAAGCGACTGACGCGTGCGCATCAATTCGCTTTGGACGCCCGACTGAAGACTGCCCAGTGTGTTTCAGCCAGTGTGTTACGAATTGAGGGCTCTGATCTTGGCCGCCACGACAAGTCTACAATTCAATTCATTTAAGTTTTCCAAACACAGCTAGGCAGCGAATCCTATTATCAATACGAAAAAGCGTACGAAGGTAAGATGAAGCATTATTATTTTACGGAAAAAAGGGGTCAAATGGACTTCGGCAAAGCAGAAGACCCCTCAGACTAAAAGCCCAGCGTATGCCTAAAAAAACATTTATATTATATCAAAAATTTACCTGGTAGCTATTAGCTCACTAGATGCTGTTAGAATACTTTAAAACACGAAATATGTGCAACTAACTGGGGTGAAATAAAGAGTTTTGCAATCGAGCGACTGACTACAACTAATGTAAACATTGACACGCATTATAGTTTGATATTGTTGTGCTGCATGATTTTTCAGTTGTAGTATTAGCGTTATCTCCTATATATCGGTTTTATGCCAATTTTTGCTCATTTTCCCTCCTAAAATTGAAATTGATTTGTCATAACGTAATAATATTGTATTAAATGTTGGGGCTTTTGCTTGTCTTTAAGATGTGTAAATTGTAAACAGCTAACGAAGTCTTGTGATAGTAATTTCCTTAGTCCACATCAATAAGTTTTTAGTTTTGTTGGTAGATTATCGAGTCATGAATCGTAATTCTAATTTCAGAACTGGTATGCTTTCAATGTGTCTTTCTACCCTATGTAAATTATTCTGTCAAAATACAATGTCTAAAATGTTCATGAGACAAGGCTAACAAATTTTGATATATGCATAATTTTAAATTTATCATGTTTGAATTATATTTAACCATGTGGGTGAAGGATGGGGTTGGTTGCACAAAGGCAGGATAGCATTGTTTGTTGGATAGAAAAAATATTCAAACTTGTAGAAATGGTGCTTATATTTTCCTTGCAACAAAGAAATTTGTACTTTTCAAAACAATGTTTTATTTTAGTGATTGCACATTTAAAATTGTATAATTTTCTTTGATAAGAGAAATTTTGAATGTTCAAAAAATTTTCTATTCAGTAGATAGCGCTAATCGGCCTTCCTTCAACCTGCCCCTTGATGGGTATATGCTCATCTCTGCAAATTATGTGTCTAAGTAAATGAACATGCATATTGTAGAATATAATACTAAAAAAAATTAATTTAATAATATTATGTGCATGCTTTAAATTTGAAATCACTTAAATGCAAAGAGTGCTTTTACCAATGCCAATGATGAGATTAATGCCAATACGGCAATATCAGTGATTATATGAATGTTGGTACCCATTACTATATGAATGCCAACACCAATGACTATATGAATGCCTATAGTCTTTATTACCAATGAATATATGAATGTTAATAGCCATGGCTATATGAATGCCAATATGGTTGACTGTGTCAATATCAATAGCAATGAATGAATGAATGCCAACACCAATGTCTATATGAATGCCAATACGGTTGACTGTATAAATATCAACACCAATGAATGAATGAAGGCCAACACCAATGTCTATATGAATACCAATACGATTGACTCTATTGATATCAACACCAATGACTGAATGAATGCCAACACCAATGTCTATATGAATGCCCATACTGTTGACTGTATTGATATCAACACCAATGACTGAATGAATGCCAACACCAATGTCTATATGAATGCCAATACAATTGACTGTATCGATATCAACACCAATGACTGAATGAATGCCAACACCAATGTCTATATGAAAGCCAATACTGTTGACTGTATTGATATCAACACCAATGACTGCATGAGTGCCAACACCAATGTCTATATGAATGCCAATATGATTGACTGTATTGATATCAACACCAATGACTGAATGAATGCCAACACCAATGTCTATATGAATGCCAATACAATTGACTGTATCTATATCGACACCAATGACTGAATGAATGCCAACACCAATGTCTATATGAATGCCAATACGGTTGACTGTATTGATATTAACACCAATGACTGCATGAGTGCCAACACCAATGTCTATATGAATGCCAATATGATTGACTGTATCGATATCAACACCAATGACTGAATGAATGCCAACACCAATGTCTATATGAATGCCAATACAATTGACTGTATCTATATCAACACCAATGACTGAATGAATGCCAACACCAATGTCTATATGAACGCCAATACGGTTGACTGTATTGATATCAACACCAATGACTGCATGAGTGCCAACACCAATGTCTATATGAATGCCAATATGATTGACTGTATCGATATCAACACCAATGACTGAATGAATGCCAACACCAATGTCTATATGAACGCCAATACAATTGACTGTATCTATATCAACACCAATGACTGAATGAATGCCAACACCAATGTCTATATGAATGCCAATACAGTTGACTGTATTGATATCAACACCAATGACTGAATGAATGCCAACACCAATTTCTATATGAACGCCAATACGGTTGACTGTATTGATATTAACACCAATGACTGAATGAATGCCAACACCAATGTCTATATGAATGCCGATATGATTGACTGCATCGATATCAACACCAATGACTGAATGAATGCCAACAACAATGACTTTATGAATGTCTGTACAATTTACTGTCAATGCAGACACCAATGACTACATATACATCTACATATACCAATGACTCTAGGAATGTATATACCAATAATTATATGAATTCCGATACTAATAACAATATGAAAGCAAATATCAATAACTTTATGAGTGCCAATAGCAATGACTTTATCAACAACAACACCAATGACCACATTTATGAAAGAAAATGGTAATGCCTGTATACTTGCTAATACCAATGACTTTTTATAAACATGCCTATATGAATAAGTATATGAATGTCAATACTATTGACTATGAATATGGCAGTACTAATAAGTATATATGAAATGTAAAATGTTCATGTAGCAAGGTTAACAAGTTTGACATATAATTTTAAATTTATCATGTTTGAATTATATTTAACGATGTGGGTAAAAGATTGATGTGTATATGCTCAACTCTGCAAACTATGTGATTCTTGACAACAGTCAACACACAAAATTATAAATGTGGCCTAAGGGTATCAAATTTTGCGTTGATTTTATTATACTGGCTTATGTCTATTCAGATATTCTGGCAATTCGGATCTACAGAGTACATGTAAAAAAATATCTTGAACTTGTTGAGCTAAAAAAAGAACAGAATTCAACTTAAATCATGATATGCTGTTTTTGGTTGGAAACTTTTAAACCAAGATATTACAATAGGATAGTTAACTATTCAGTACAATCCTGGAACAACTGCAGAGTAGAACTACATTAATCAAAATTATTCTTTATTGAAATTACAAGTTTTAAAATCAAAGAGGTTTTGCTTCTCTGTCATAACACTGTGCATTGCTGCATGAAAATAAAACATTAAACAGTAAGTGTCAAGATATTGTACAAACATACTAAATATCTTAGGAGGAACTATTTGTTTTCCCCAGGTCCATCTCGACTCGTTGCAATTCAAGATTGTTAATAATTTCAAATTGATTTTAGATATCGATTTTATTTAAATTCCAAATTATTCATTTTCATCAAACACATAATGGTTCTTTGCAGAGATTTATTGCAAAATTATAACAATGGTGCTCTAATACATATTACAACAACCAAAACTCAACATAGAATTTCAACAAGCTTTCCAATGCACTCCCGGCTCTTTTCCATGAACCGGAATGAGTTGATCACATCTCCAAATAACCATTCCACAGACACTCTAACTGAACTCATTTGCTTGTTGAATTCTTTCATTCTGTCTGTGATTACCCCATGCCGAAAAGGAGCTTGTAGATGAATCCTCTGTGGATAAGCGGTATCCCCATATATGCAAAATGGTCTCCCATCCACAGAAAAAGCATTTTGTTCCAGGCCTTGAAGGAAGTTTGAGTCAGCTAGTTTGAAAGTTGATTTACTTTAGAAAGAAATCAGTAGTGCACAACTGATTATATGAATATACATCCCTCCATTAGCGTTCTAGTTTCGCTCTTGGCGGCAGACATGTTTTTGTGCAACATGTTGCGCTAAATGAAATATAGTAATTTTGATGAAATTGTACGTCCATTTAATTAGCATACGTGTGAGTGGTAATGTAAACTTTCATCAAGCCAAAAACCTTGTTTGCCAGTAATAAGAGGTATAATATATGCACGTAGCTGTGTAATTTTAAGAAAAAACGATAGCAGACATGCACGCTCATGTTTATAAAATGAAGACGTTTTGACACATCATGTAAGGTATTTATTACGTTGTAAGCAAGTGACCATTTCATTAATGTTTTATTGAAGTTAACAACATTTAGAGAAAATATGACATTGTTGAAGACAGAATTATATCTTGTTCTTATTGTTCCATTTTGTCGCACCTAAAACTTGCTAACATGTTATTCACATTTTCTTTTTCAGTTTCAACTTATGTAGATATAGGTTTTACAGAACAGCTCGATCTACTCTCGTTTACGTAAATATGGCCACTTTATCTCATAAGGGATGTAGTAGGCAGTTCCGCATATCCATCGTTTTATTTGTTGTGGGTTTTATTACGATCATCTATCTTCACAAAAATGAGTTTCTAATAACATCTACTTATAAATCTGAAACAACGTCTACTCGTCAATCTGAAACAACGTCTACTCGTCAATCTGAAACAACGTCTACTCGTCAATCTGAAACAACGCCTACTCGTCAATCTGCAACAACGTCTACTCGTCAACCTGAAACAACGTCTACTCATCAACTTGGAACAACTTCTACTAATGAATCTGAAACAGTGTCTACTTATAAATCTGAAACAACGTCTACCATTTCAATAAATATAACATCGTCTCCATTACGAACAGGTAAAATAGTTCTTTTGTTTTGGAGTAAATATTTTGGTGGTTCACCCTCATTTTTTGAAGTAAACCTGCCGAAAGGTGACAAAGAAGGCGAGTGTCCTGTGGCCTGTGAGGTTACATCAGACCATCAGCGAGCTAAAGACGCAAATGGATTTATTGTACATTCAAGAGATCCATATCCTCTACCTCCATCAAAAGATGTTCCCTGGATCCTAACGGGTCTGGAAAATCCTGTTTATACTCCTGTACTTTCTGACGGCAACTATATGTCACAGTTTCAATTGTCGAGAAGCTATCGACTTGATTCTGATTTTCCTACACCACTCTTCACAAAGCCAAATTTAGATCCACCGGTTCCGTTTGAGAAAAGAACGGGAGGAATAATTGCTACTTTTTCCCACTGCGAACCTGTCAGGACAGCGTATCTAAGACATCTCATGAAACATGTTCATGTAGATTCCTATGGTGGATGTTTACATAATAAAGATGGTATGGTAGGACGCTGGGCACCAAACCATATAGAATCAAAACAAGATGTGGAAAAATCATACAAGTTTGTTATTGTGTTTTTTAACCAAGATTGTGATTACTATGTTGATGAAAAAATTCTCAATGCACTTAACGTAGGTGCAATACCTGTGGTGATGAGCACGGATAAAATTTATGATTTTTTGCCTGGAAATCTGAAAAATGCCATTATCAATGTCCGAGATTTTAAGTCTCCCAAAGAATTGGCGGAGCGACTTAAGTTTCTAATGAACAACAAGATTGAGTATAACAAGTTCTTGGAATGGAAAGTAAAAGGTTTAGGTCATATTAACGACACTGTGATTGGAAGATATTGGGAAAGTAAATTTAGACAATGGTGTTATGTGTGCCAGGGAGTAGCGGATGGAAAAGGGCACAAAGAAGGTCTTAAACCTGACTTTTGTAAACCAAGAGACTATAAAGACTTGGGAATTACACCGTAGTGACCTTGGTACACATGACGGACTGGTCGAAAAACTGAAATATTTTTCACACGGAACACGCAAGTAGAAGGTGTTTATTAAGTGGCTGTCGAGTGCAAGTATTTTATGAAGGAAATCAATTTTTTGACCCGCATTAATACTTTCCGTATCAAACATTTGAAGATGAATGAAATTATAGAAACAATTTACTGTATGTAAATGATATGTACCGAGTTAGTAAGGAATTAAACTGTTTGATATCTGCATTGTTTTCGATTTTGAGTTTAAGAAAATTGGACAAACAATGTTCTAAACTCGTTTATTTCGTTTAGATGCAATAAGTCGAGCAACGCATTTTGGCCCAGTATTACGATGGTACCTAAAATACTTTGTAGTAACAATTCCAAAAGTATTTAGAAATCTGGAGGCACCATTTGAATTTGGTCGTAACGCTTACCAACTTGTATTTGCTATCTTCTAGTAACAATACTTCCTTCTGTAGTGGTTCAGCGTTCGTTGAAATAAATTTTAGCTCCTCAATTTTTATTCATAGTACTTTCAGAAAAACACTATTGATTATGAATTTGTAAAGAAATTAATTTTACCAATGCACTTAGTTATCTCTAAGGTGCTTAGAAATGCAAATCTACGCCAAAATTTGTTGTAGTAATTTATCTTGACATACCCATAGATGGGCCACCTACTTTCTTTACCCATAATAGTTGCTGGCTGGTGCATTTTTGGCCAGAAAATTTATTTTGATTTTGTATTATAGCTTTTGTTATCACATAATCAAAAAAGATAATGAACTAATTACTTCCTCTTTTCGCAATCGATGCAAATATTTTGGCTATTTTTCGTTATCTCTGGAAACAGCGTGAGCTACTTTGTATTGAGTTTACTTAGGACTATAACGGACTATTTTCCATTTCAGTTCATTGATTTGCACGAAAAAATTTTGTAAATACAACTAGCGTTGTGTTTGGTGCGCATAACCGCTCTGTATTTTATTCTATTATGTTGAAATTTAACTGCTGAAGACATTACGCAAGCATAAGCTTCGCAGAAGTTGGCAAACATCAAATAAATATCGTTTGAGAGAATATTACGCTGTGATGAGACTTGATGCACTGTGCTTGTATTTATACATTTAATCTAGTATTAGTATGTATGTAGCAAATTGGCATTATGTAATGGTGCTTATCTCACCTATCGTTTATATTATATTTCCTAAATTACGTTTGTACTCTATAGACCATATATTCCTGTCAGAGATATTATTCAACAAGGCACGACATGTGAGTTCGTAAGTTGTTGCGAGTAAATACGAGTAACTATTCTTTGATACAATAAATTTCACACAGATAACAACACAGACTAATTAACGTAATGATACGAGATGCGAACATACTGGATTCAGAAATTTAATGTGGAGAAATGAAGATATGTGGAGAAGGATTTACGGTAATCTACATCTGTACTTTGGGAAACTATCGAACAATATAATATTTTAATAATATTACTTTTTGTGTTATATCGCTCAGTACATCTGATTGTATTTTTATTTCATCTTAAAAATTTCGCCCGACAAGCTCCTGCTATTTTGCCTACGAGTCCAAGATTAGAGGTGTATCACCCCCTATACCCTTCTCCCAGACGTTTTGGCCCTGATTGTGCTGTCTGCATTGGATTTTCAAATCCTGCAACAAGACCTTATTGCACTAAGGCCATGTCCACACGTATACGGATTTTTAAAAATACGGAGATTTTTCCTCCGTTTCTGAATAGATTTGCGTCCACACGTAGCGTATTTGAATCGTTTCCACCTGTCCACACATATACACAAAAACGGAGGAAATTCAATACTTGTAATCCCTTAGCATGTGTATTTTCTTGTAATAAGGGATGCTTCAAGCTTTTGCACCATCGAATTTGTTAATTACTCAACGATTTATTATGAAAAATGTATAGAATACAAGCGAAATACTAACTACAAGAGCTTACGACTACACGTTCTCAAGTTCAGTTACATGACCATATTAATGACGCATGCGTAATTAACTTAATAGAGACTTTGTCGTGGTGACAAATCTGAAAATCGTTCTTAAGATCGCAAATACCATGGTGAATGGTAAAAGTAATAAGTTAATAGTTCTTAAAAGAACTGTTTTAAGTGAAAATCAGCACTAACCCAGTAGTTCTAAAAGAAGTGTTATGAAATTAAACGACACAATGCAATTCGACAGACTACTCCTCAGGTGTCAACGTCTGCTAAATGAAAATTTAAAATCTACCGATATTTGTAATGCCAAGAAAGGGGAGATGACGCTCAAAACAGGGATAAATTGAAAACATGATCGGCAGAGGACGGGATTGGTTAACTTAATTAAAACAGCCTCCATGACGCGTAACTGAAAGAATGAACGGCATTTCTTAATGATTCTAAAACTGTCGTCTGAATAAGAATCAGCACAATGGGTGTTATTCAAGACATCTTTACCTATCGCGGAATCACACGAAACTAAATTATTTTTCCTACAATCACGTTTTGGTTGTTGTCTTGAGGGGACCGTTCTATTTCTGATTGACGTTGATACACGCTGTTTAATCCTATCACCTAACCTTTGAGACGTTCTACCTACACAGCGAGCATGACACTCACATTTATATTCATAAACTACATTGCTTAAACGTTCTGCCGGTAAAGACTCTTTTGGGCTTGGTGGAAGGATAGTTCTTTTCGAAAATATAAAGATAACATTGCTTCCAAAAATTCTCTGTAATGGAAGAGTCAAAGCATGTGTACAAACCCGTAAAAGTTGCCTTCCGATGAATGCTAGTAAGGAATTGACCATTGCGTGTATGGACAAGAACATCTAAAAATGCCAACTGACAATTTGATTCATGCTCAGACGTATGATTTAAAGAAGGGTGAAGAGAACAGAGTTTATGCAAAAAATAATTGGTGATTTTTGTCGTTTTAAAAAGGGAAAAGGTGTCGTCAACGTAACGTTTGTACCACAGCACTTCTGGAGTTTCAGAAGAGGCAAGCATCTTACACTCATAAAGTCTATGAAAATATTGGCAAGTACTGGTTCAAGAGGAGAACCCATAGCCAACCCATCAATTTGTTTGTACGTAATATCATTAAAATTAACTCTAGTGGCCGCTAACATTAGTTCTCTTAAAGCTTCCTCAGACATATGTGGTACAGCCATAACCAAGTGAAATAGATTGTCAACACAGATTTAGATGATTTCTTCTAAGGGCACATTTGTGAAAAGACTGGTTACATCAAAAGAGCACATTGTCGGATTAGGATGAGCAGAAAGATCTAGTTGTTTGCGTTGATTAATAAAAGTAAATGAGTCGTTTAAAGCGTGTATTGAGAACTTCTCTAAATCAGGTGAAAGTACAACTGACAGTTGTTTAGCCAACTCATGATGAGCTGAGTTAATCATGGCACGAATTGGTGGAGCGCCCTCTTTGTGGATTTTGGAAATCCATACATACGTTGTCTCTTTGCACCGCTTAGGCAAACTAAATTATAGAAATTCTCACTGATTTGATTTGATTTTCTTAACTCTAAGAGAAGTGTTTGTAATCTCCTTTCTATTGAAGAGGTTTTGTCGCAATCTGGCAATTTTCCAAGCGTGCAAAATTTTTTTTTCGTTTAAAATGTTAGCATTTTGCTATTATAGTCGTCCCTATCGAAAATCACTACACCAGAGCCTTTATCTGGTTTGCAAATTACAAATATCCTCATTCTTCTTCAAATTAGAAAGCGCAATCATATGTTCTTTCGTTAGAGAAAATTCTTTAGAATCAACCTTACACTATGAAAAAGTGTGCGCAAGGCTTGACAGTTGGCTCTTAAAGCCAAGCACTGCTTCGATATCAGGTGGTTCAAGCTTTCCTAACTTTGACCAAAATATTTCAAAATCTGAAAATATCTCCTCTTTTTTCAGTTTACTAGGGATTTCAAATTTTGGACCTCTCGACAAAACATCTATTTCAACCGCAGAAAGTTGATATGGTGAAAGATTTGTTAAGTGAGCGTCATCTCATGGAGATGACGTACACTCTTTCTTTGCATTATAGATATCGGCAGATTTTAAATTTTCGTTTAGACGTTGACACCTGAGGAGTAGTCCGCCGAAATGCATCGTGTCGTTTAATGTCATAACAGCTCTTTTAAGAACTATTTACTGATTACTTTTACCATTCACCATGATATTTGCGATCTTTAAATCAATTTCAAATAGCTAATTAACAAAATAACTAAGATGATAATTACAAATTCTGGCAAACACTCCTACTTAATTATTATGTTGCAAAATCTTTAAAACGAACAAATATTTAGTTCTTTCCTAAGTTTTTCATATCTCTGCTTTGTAATATCTTTTGTCATTATATCAGCTAGCATCTCACTGGTTGGACAGTATTTCACGCATATTTCTTTAGATAGAATTTTTTCTCTGGTAAAATGGTAATTCACATCGATGTGCTTTGTTTGATTATGAAAGTTCGGGTTCCTTAACAACTCGATTGCTCCTTGGTTGTCTTCAAATAATGTTGTATTGCCAAAAATCTTGCTTCCATTTGGCTACTTGTTTAGCCTGAGTTAGTACGACGTATTCTACTTCCGATTTAGCTACCTTTGCATGTTTCTTGCTACACCAACTAACCGTAAAATTGGCCACTTTGAATACATATCCGGAAGTAGAACGACGACTGTCTACGTCACCGGCCCAATTCTCATCAGAGCACAGACTAGATATCGTAACAGAAGGTCCAACTGGCAAAAATTCGGACCTAATTTTTAATGCACATGCTTCACATCCGCCATGTTGGCAGCAAGATAATTTGACATGCATTTTTCGCGTGAAATTATTAATTCTAACATCTAGTGGGGATTATTTAAATTTATTTTATGCTGGGACGACTGCTGTGGTTGATAACATTAATCAAGACATATTATCATAATTGAGCTGAAAATGGGAACATTAAATTAGACTTGTCTTTGCTTTTAAATGTATGCATGTGTACAACTAAAGTGTATGCATGAATGTAAAATATCAAAGTCAATTTATGCGAGTATGTGATGCGATTTATGCATTGAGTTCAATAAGACCTGGAGGGGAAACGTCAACAAAATTACTATAAATTATTAGCACGCGGCTGCGTGGTCAAAAACATGGCGGATTATGGTGGTCAAAGTCAGCGGAGAGACGCGGGCTCATGAAATAAAAATTTTGTCGCCCAC